CCTAAATCACTCGTACGCACAACTTAAGAACAAATCTGTGCGTACGAACGGTTCTTGCATGAGGCCCATTGTTCTGCTGAAAGGTGAACCTCCGTCTCGGTCTCAAATCCCTGGAAAACTCGAACAGGTTTACCTTTAAGAATTTCTCCATATTTTGCTCCATCCATCTTTTTTAAACTCTGACCAGTTTCTCAGTCTCAGTGCTGATGAAAAGCATCCCCATTTTACGACGCTGCAACCAACATGCTTCACTGTGGGGATGGTGTTCTCAGCTAGATGAGAATTCTTAGGTTTGCATCAGACATGGAGTTGACCTTGATGGATAAAACGTTCAGTTTTACTCCAATCTGATTACAGCTCATCTTTTGTGACTTTTGACGAACCGTCTGCTTTATTCAGTGTCTTTTTCTTGTTCACTCTTACATGAATCTTAGCTTCTAGTCGTCCTACGGACAGACCCATCTCTACAGAGGAGCTGCCCAGAACCAGCAGAGTTATCTTTGACCTCTTTTTGTCCAGTCTCTGATGTTCAGTGGACAATCTTTGCAGATTTACTGTGGTTGTTTAATCTTTTTATTTTATTAATGAATACAAAAGCGTTCCAAGTGATGCTCAGGGTTTGGGATATTTATTTCCACAACTCTATACTATTCTATACATTTCCACAACATTGTTTCCGACCTGTGTGAAGCAAACAAAATGAATGCATGTGCACACTTCATGTTTCAGTTTGATACTTCCATACTTTTAGTTTCATACATTTTCTGCATTTCACCTCATCAGTCTCGTATTTTTTTTTACATAGGTCCATTATTTATAGCTGAACTTCATATTCTTTTAAATATTAGGCCACATGGCATCAAAATAGAAAGAATACCAAGTAGGTAAACGTTTTTGCAACCAAAAGMATTGTGGCAAAAAGGAGTCCCATCCAATTTTAAAGCCAAAGAAAACAGAACCCGCAACTTTATTAAACTCCATGTTTTCTAACTCATCACAGCTTGGTGATCAAGCTTATTTCAACACTGAAAGAACAAACCATGCAGCAATGAACACTGACACACTAAAAATATACACAGAAGACCACACAGATATAATAGAAAATAAACAATACTGCACAACTATAATAGAAATGCGTTATGCCTGTAGACGTGCAATCAAACACACAGGCAACAATGCACACCAGTGGGACACAGACAAAACATTTGAAATAAGGTTGCAACAAGCAGTAATGGTGCTTACACGTCTGCCTTTGCTAGTAGAGCCAACGGACGGCGAGTGCTTAAGTGGCAAGAAGACAGGCAGACAATAGTGAATATTAGAACTGCTGTCTAACAGAGCTGAAAACATGTTTAAACAGATGAGAAAGGAGACAGGGGAACAGGGGGAAATGCCAGGCAGTGACTCCCAACCTTTTGTTTTGTGTTTTGCTTCATTTTTTACTTAAAAAAAGATTTTTTCAGGGTTCTAGAGTGCAACTAATTTGGTCACAAATGAAACCTGATTTTTCAAAATTGGAACAAAAAAGAATTTCCGGCCGCACTGGTGCAACCAGTTGTTCAAAGAGGTGCAGCGGATCAGTTTAATTCTGATTAGTGAATAAAATCAGCCTGGATAACAGCAGACTGACTGCTCGTAAAATATACGACAGGTCTGGACCACTCGTGAATTTTGTTCGTATCTGAGAAAAATCTTAGAATACGAAAACATTGGTGAATGCCACAAATTCTCCTAAATCACTTGTACGCACAACTTAAGAACAAATCTGTGCGTACGAACGGTTCTTGCATGAGGCCCATTGTTTTTAAACTGCTCTGTGTAATTCAATAAATGATCAAATTTGAAAAATGAATAGTGTTAATTGATTACATGCGTTCTGCACAATAGTACTAAATGATTACATGCGCCAAAACCATCTTAATAATATAATCTTTTTGAACAGAATAAGTCATTTAAAAAAGAAATCAGTCAGCCTAACAAATAAAAAAATTGTAGTTTTTGTGCAAAAGACCAATATTTGCTCCTTGGATTTTGACGATACGGAGAGTGTGAAAAGCTGGTTTAGCATAAGGCCAAACTACAAGAGTTGTCTATCTGAGGGGTGTGTGTAGTCTAAAAGACATTTAACCATGAAATGTTCAGTTTGAGAGTTTATAAAATGTTCAGCCTTTAAATATTTGCACTTATTTCTTTCATTTCAATAACCTTGAGATATTTACATTAAAATTTCAGGTCATAGAATCACTTAAAATACGCTTTTCATTAAATTARATCATGTATAAGTCTGGTTCAAATAAAGAACTAGACTATTAACTTATTATTTGCGAGTTAATATTGCCTTAATGGACAGTGATTAAAAAAAGCTAACCTATAACACTGCAATGTTAAATGTGATGCAGTTGAAAATCTGGGTTCACCTAACTTTTGTTCTTGTGCACCTAAGAAAAAACGATAGGCGTACCAGTGCAACAAGTTATTCTAGAGCCCTGTGTTTAGCAGCTGCTTTAACTGGGGCAACACTCAAAATATACAGATTAATATGACACTAAGACTTTATTTTTTATGAATAAAATTCTTCTAAGTAAACTTGACTTATTCAGTTGTGCCTTCTGTACATACTGGTTGGGAGGCACTGCACCAGACAGTGGTTTGACCATCAGAGGAGCTCCAAGGACAGAAATTGAGCGGTGAACAGGTGCTAATTCAAAAGATACAGATGATCATCAGGAAGGAGAAGTTTGGGACATTCAGCTTGAGGAACTGTAACATAGTGATTAACGGCTAATAAAGGAGATAAAACATGACGTTGGGCACCTAAACACAAGGACACTGCTTGTTAGGGCTGCACAATACAGTAAATACAAAATTTTTCATTGCGATAACACCCTGCGCAATAGGCATTTWGCAAAATGACACATTCACTGCAATAAATGGTTGGCTCAAATGTTTGCATTTGTGTGTTTTGTCAATAACACTGAAGTTTGAAGTGTTTGACCAATCAATTAGAGCGCTTCATGTACTTGGCCAATCGGATGGATCTATTTACATTAAATGTCCACTCCTTACATAGACATAGAGCAAAGTACTGAGCAAGCTTAGTCAGGATTGCAATGGCTGAGAGCAAGATAAGTGAGGAAAATGTTAGAGACAATAAGAAAACAGCACGTCTCTTATTTGGAGATATTTTTGTTTGAAGAATGAATAAGTTGTAAAAAACACAGGTACTTTGCAAAACATGACAAAAACTAGAGGCAACCACAAGAAGAAACATGACTACCATATTTATTCATGTATAATATGATCATTGAGTACAATATGATCATAATTTTTTGCGCATAAAAAGTATAAAAGAATCGAAATCATGAGCCACCACTCATTTCTGACAGATTTCAGGATTTTTCAGCCTTTTGCGGTGCACCCTCTGGTGGCAAAACATTATTTAGGGACACTTGAGTGGGCGTGTTCTGCTGCAGAACAGCAGAGGGCGTGCAGCAGAAGTTTCCGGTTCGGTGTGCCACTTAAAAAAAATTTCGCTCCCAAACAAGAGCAGAAGCCGGTTGGTAAATTATTAAGATGGATTTATCAGCACAAACAACTAAAGTCCACGTCTTTTTACATCGCTGCGATTAACAAGAAAAAGAAAACATATTTTTTTCTCTTTTGAGATACAGCTACTATTTATATGCTTCACCTTGTGCAACTTACAACGGGAGGGAGGGGGAATATTTCAGTATTATACGAGAAAATATTGAAACTTATTGTGGTTGTACATTAAAAACGTCAGTTAATATTTACTCTTGTGTATACTACCCCCCACAGTTTATGAATGAATTTTATGGTTAAATTTCTCATATTAAACACGAATAAATATGGTAATCTATATTGTCACATTCAATACAACCATAAAGACCTGTATGAAGACTTCCAAAAAGCTAGCGCTAGCAAAACCAAAATTGGATCATTTGCAGTTGGACTTGGATTATGTTAAATCTTTCTTAAATTCCTATAATTTATTTTCAGATTTATTATTTTTAAAAACCTGACAGGAAGAGGATTTTTTTCAGTATTTAGACCATCAGAAAATGTTTTATGGGGGAGTTGATTTAAAGTCATTAACTTTATTGCATGCAGCTTGCAGTTTCAACGCTAATACAGCAGCTGCATCTAGTTTTAGATTTTTTTTTGTAATAAAACTGTCACGTTGGAATGAAAACGATGTATTGTTTTTTTTTCTCTAAACTCAGAGCAGAAATACAAATTATGTATTTGTTCATTTATCACAAGTCATATCGTAATTACAATATTAAGCACTGTAATTGCACATCACAGGTTTTCCTAATATCGTGCAGCCCTACTACTTGTCCACAGATTGTATACTTTATGTTTGGAGTGATACTAGGTAGAGCTGCTTCAACATAGGAATAAATCACACATGGACTTCCATCTATTCAAAATAAACTTACATCTTCCCAAAACTCAATTAATGAAGATGAAGATGAGGAATAAGAGTCCTGTTGTACAAAAGTGATGCAAGAAAAACAACCAAAAATGCAGACATTTTATTGTGATCAAAAATAAAGAAAGCGTAAAAAAAATTAATGACTTTAACTATTTAAAGAAACATTTTAAATTTGTGTGGAAAAGTTTGTGAACAATTAATATTCTACATGTAGCAGATAGTTTTTGATCAACTTCAGTTTTAAGAAATAGCCATCCAAAAAGCCCCACACACAGTTTTACTTGTTTGCACATGAATGTTTGCTCTCATCAGTTTTATCTGAGGATCTTTATGGACAAACTTACATCAAACTGGTCGAGGGCTGAGGTGGGAGCATTGAGAAAAGCCAAGAAGGAATTCTGTGAATCCTGGTGTTTGACACCTTTAAACAGAACAAATAACACAACTGTTGGTCAGTATTAAAACATCAAAGAGCGACTTAAACAAAATAAGTCACAGGACTCTGTCTAAGACCTGGAGGGGGTTACATATGACCTAAAGGACAATACATTGTTACGGAGCATACAGAGCAAAGCGCTCTGATTTGGGATTCTGATAATAACAAAATATTAATTTACTGAGAAATTCTATTCAGTCTGTAGAGTCTTCTAACACAAATTGCTAATTTTACAAAGACCTTATTACCACTAAAATCACTGAGTGCAAACAAAGGATTTGACTGCATCACTGTGTGGTACACTTGCTGACGTTTTATGCATTCGTTAAGTTTACCTCTTCGCAGCCGCAGCTCATCCATCTCTTTCTTTAGCCGTTCAATCTCTGTGAGCAGCTCCTGGTTTTTACTCTCCACCTTCTGCAGTTTACTGATGTATCACAGCCCATATTGTATCCAATACAGTAGTTAGAGAACAATTCAATTCAATTCAATTCAACTGAACTCAAAAATACTTTATTGAGCCCAGAGGGAATTTAGGTAATCAGCAGTGACAGTGAGGCGTTCGTACCATTCTGTAGAGATGTTGTCTGCTTTGACCTTGTTTAGCTCATCCTGGATGCTCTGCTTGGCTCTGATCTCAGCGTCCAGAGCTGACTGCAACTCAAGACGCGCAGACATATCCAGCTTGGCAAAACGCCGCATCTTCCATGGCATGTCCTGACACAAAGAAAACAAAAAAGCAGAAAATAAAAGGACATTACAGTTATTTCAATCTTGTTTTTACTGATAACATTTAAATATTATAAAGTTCTTATTTCTCCAAATCAGAGACTTCATGTCTACCAACAATTACACTCATTCAGGAGCTTGTACAGTAAATAAAAACAATGTTGGGGAATGTTTTTTTTTTTACCGTGGCTCGGGCTCCAAGGCTGGCGTTTCTTAAACCCTCCAGCTCCTCAGTCATCTTAGTGGCCAGAGCTTGCAGGTAACCCCTAGCATCCTTCTCGTCACTCACCCTGCAACACACACACACACACACACACACACACACACACACACACACACACACACACACACACACACACACTTGTTACTTTAATACAAACAGACAAAATGCACTCAAAGTTAAAAAAGGCAAAATATCAGTCTAATATGATGATGATGATGATGATGATGATGATGATGATGATGATGATGATGCTGATGCTTTTATTGTCATTGTACGGAGCACAATGAAACTACATTTAAGAACACCCAGTGAAGAACACACACACATGACAAAAACATGGGGGAACATGTGATCAGGTCATGCAGCAACCAGCAGGGGTCARGCTACCTTTAAAAAGAAAAACTAAATACCACTGAAGGTTAGATGAGGGAAAAAAAACATCATATTATATCAACGAAATATGATAAACTATGGTGCGTATAAAAAAACCTCTACAAGCACATTTATTAGCCAGAGGACTAAGTGAGTTTAGAGGGCATGTATCTGAAGCCATGAATGTTGTATGCACTTGTGTGAATATCTGAAAAATGAGTCCGAAGAATCCAGTCCCCAAAAAGATAAACCCCACAGTTCAGCCATTTTTCAGATTACTGGTGTTGTTCTGTGCAGCTTCAGGTTGTCCTTCAAGGAATAAGAATAGACGGGAGTGAGAGGGGGGAAAGGTGAGGTGTGTGTGTGTGTGTGTGTGTGTGTGTGTTTGGGTGGCTGTGGGGGGTCGTTGATGTAAACACCAGGAGGAATTTAGTTCCACAGCCTTCTCAAGGTCAGCGTGGGCCTAATCTGTAATCAGTTGTTTGGAAACGGAGAAAAGAGAAAATGTTTTCGGTCAGGTAGACAATAGCAATTTTCCATCTGCCTTAATGTCCGCTGGTATATCCAATGTGGCGAATCCAATCAGTCAAAAATTGTGGGCAATCCCACCGTGCTATCAGCTTCTCCAGATCAATTCCATCTGGCCAGCAAAGTCTAGGAACCACAGCCGGCCCGCGACCCTCAGCAGAACCGTTTTCAGACCTTGTCCCAGCTTGCACAAGGCAAAAGTCTGAGTGCTTATACACTCACCGGCCACTTTATTAGGTACACCACGCTAGTAACGGGTTGGACCCCCTTTTGCCTTCAGAACTGCCTCAATTCTTCGTGGCATAGATTCAACAAGGTGCTGGAAGCATTCCTCAGAGATTTTGGTCCATATTGACATGATGGCATCACACAGTTGCCGCAGATTTGTCGGCTGCACATCCATGATGCGAATCTCCCGTTCCAACACATCCCAAAGATGCTCTATTGGATTGAGATCTGGTGACTGTGGAGGCCATTTGAGTACAGTGAACTCATTGTCATGTTCAAGAAACCAGTCTCAGGTGATTCCAGCTTTATGACATGGCGCATTATCCTGCGGAAAGTAGCCATCAGATGTTGGGMACATTGTGGTCATAAAGGGATGGACATGGTCAGCAACAATACTCAGGTAGGCTGTGGCGTTGCAACGATGCTCAATTGGTACCAAGGGGCCCAAAGAGTGCCAAGAAAAGATTCCCCACACCATGACACCACCACCACCAGCCTGAACCGTTGATARAAGGCAGGATGGATCCATGCTTTCATGTTGTTGACGCCAAATTCTGACCCTACCATCTGAATGTCGCAGCAGAAATCGAGACTCATCAGACCAGGCAACATTTTTCCAATCTTCTCTTGTCCAATTTCGATGAGCTTGTGCAAATTGTAGCCTCAGTTTCCTGTTCTTAGCTGAAAGGAGTGGCACCCGGTGTGGTCTTCTGCTGCTGAAGCCCATCTGCCTCAAAGTTCGACGTACTGTGCGTTCAGAGATGCTCTTCTGCCTACCTTGGTTGTAACGGGTGGTTATTTGAGTCACTGTTGCCTTTCTATCAGCTTAAACCAGTCTGCCCATTCTCCTCTGACCTCTGGCATCAACAAGGCATTTCCGCCCACAGGACTGCCGCTCACTGGATGTTTTTTCTTTTTCGGACCATTCTCTGTAAACCCTAGAGATGGTTGTGCGTGAAAATCCCAGTAGATCAGCAGTTTCTGAAATACTCAGACCAGCCCTTCTGGCACCAACAACCATGCCACGTTCAAAGGCACTCAAATCACCTTTCTTCCCCATACTGATGCTCGGTTTGAACTGCAGGAGATTGTCTTGACCATGTCTACATGCCTAACACAAAAGTGTTAACGAGCAGTTGGACAGGTGTACCTAATAAAGTGGCCGGTGAGTGTAGAACAGCCATCCTTCATATTGGTCAGGCAACCAGGAAATGAACAGCCACTGACACTGTTTTATAGAACACCAGGAGACCACCAAGCCAATCTGTAGAATCCAGTGATCAGAATCCAAATATATATCCAGAACAGAGCAGAACAGAGGTCCCACCTTTGACATGTCCTCCCATGGAAGAAAACTTTGTTCCAAAAATTTATTAAGAGACCAGCTAACCAAATCCATAAAAATATCCATAACTTCTGGTTTCGGATGAAAACGTAGAGAAGGCTCCAAGCAGCAAAGCGGGGAAGATAAGGGAAGGCAGGAGAGAGGGAAAAAGTGTCTTACTCCTCCAAGACCAGGAACAAAAATTTTACATCAAACTTGTTTTAGCATTATTTTACACTGACATAGTTTGGTTGAGAAAAAAAACAGACAAACTGAAACTGCTAAAGCAGAGGTAGAGGTTAAATATTAGCTAATACAAAGTTTCTTTCACACTAGTACGTTGTGTATGAAGTTCAGTAGTTGTGATAGGCACCCCACCACTGATTTAACTCATTTACTAAATAAAAATTGCTGTAACTTGAAGATATTTTCATTTCCACAAAAAAAAAAGAAAAAACATGCATTTTCCAACATCAGGGCAAATTAAAGTTTGTGAGAAGAAATATACAAAACTTGCGTTTATAAACCAGTCCCTGCTTCTATTTCATCCTCCCACAGAGGCAAAGGTTCACCACCAGATGGCAACACTGGCTGCTAAAGTCTTAAAATTCAAAGTGACCAGTTTGGAATGTGCTGTGGCTGCTCAAAGCATGTTTCTGTGGCAGTGTTTTTTCATGTGTAAGAGTGTGTGGTATGTGTGCTATGTGAAGACTTCGGGCTGGTTCAGCATAGCAGCTGGCGAGGTGTCAGCTGCCGAAGGAAATGATCTGAGAGGAACGGAGGGTCAGACATTTTGAGAATCTTCAGAGGCATGTGAGTTTTACAGTAAGGAGGAACCCAGTACATTGTTAGAGTGCGTTTCAGTTTGCACCATAAAATGGGTGGGAAAGTAGATGCCCGAGGGTTGCACTTTTGAACACTTGTGAAGGTTGTTGTGTGGATATCAGTGTAAATGTGTTCAGCTCTGTTTTGGGTTTTGAGTCTTACCACTGGATGATTTCTGTGATCTGGGCCTCCCAGTGAGCCACGCTTTCCTTTTTATCAGCCAGCTCCCTCATCTCATTCTCCAGCTGCCGGTTGGAGCTGCTCACTTTCTCAAACATGATGTTCAACTGAGCAAACACACAGAAAAAGAATAAAACTAAATCCTATCCAGAGACCATGAAGGTGTTCAGCCTTCACACACACACACACACACACACACACACACACACACACACACACACACACACACNCCATGAAGGTGTTCAGCCTTCACACACACACACACACACACACACACACACACACACACACACACACACACACACACACGTAAAATCTATCAGTCTGTCAATGAAGATCTATAATGACGTGTCCAGATGCGACACAGCACGGATCTATACTTACAGTATATAAGGTGTGAGCAGTTATACAAAAATACACAAAAGGGGTGGGGTTTACAAACATTTGTGTTTTCAATCATTGTGGGGGTTGGGGTGGAGGTGGGCGAATTGGGGTGTGTAAATGTGTAACCATGGCAACATCATTACAGGTCTGAAGCTGCCTGACTGTTTGCTTAAATATTTCTCTTTGTGGGCACATTTTTGGTGTCTTGCATCTTGTCAGGACTGTGATGTCAAGAACAAGCCAAGACAGTTTTTGTTCACAACTGCTTGTTTCAGTTTTTTAATGTGTGAGGGCTGTTCAAGTGTGTGGATAAGAACTTGAGCCCCAACAGTAAGTGGAATATAATCGATGCTAACTTTTTAGCATCATTATATTGATTCTAAATGACAAGATCCCTTCAAACAGCAAGTGTTTCTTCATAAAGGTTGCTAATGGACGAGCAGACACCTCATCAGCTTTAACAACTTAACAAAAGCTAGAATGTTTTCTTTGATACACTGTTTCAGAATCATCCTCTAAAGCTCTTTGATAGTCCTGTTTAATGGTTTTATCCAGGCTGGTCCTCATTTTATAGTATTTCTTAGGTAAATAAAACTGCCATTGCTAAGAAATGTCAAACTGGACTGGCAGGGCTTTATTACAAGAAACTTTTACGTTTGTATATCATGAAAAAACAGCTGTTTTATTACACAAAACACACGTGTACTGATGCTACTGAATATATTAGTTTGACTGATCAGCACGTCATATCAGTGTAAAAATTCACTCAACCTCAGCGGATTGATACCTTCAGTAGCATCAGCACGCCTACATTTACGCAGCAATGCAGACGTTCTGTCTAACCTTTGGCCTAACTCTTGGGTGAACTTTTTTCCCCTCCATATTCTGTACTTTTTCACAGACATTTACCTTTTTTCCAGTCCTTTTTAATAGGTTTTAAACCTTAAAACCTATCTGGTTGCTGTATTCAGACTGCGGAACCAACTACCTCAGGAGTTGCATTCCCTCACTGATCTAAGCCTTTTTAAATCTAATCTTAAGAGCTTTTTTTATTTAGACAGGTTTCTAATACCTAGGGTCTAGGGCACGTGTCAAACACAAGGGGTGACTCCCGTGTGGCCCGCCAAGGAGGGGTACTCCCCCATTTTTTTTTACTTAGCATGAAATTTGTTTTTTTTATCAATGGTAAACTTTAAATTTATGATAAAAGGCAACAAAATAAATTAAATAAAAATAAATTTAATCAACTCCTGTCCCWGAGCTGTTGGCTTTAAGAAACTGAGCAATTTAGTTGGATAGCACAGCATTAACGTCTGAAAATAAGTTGCTTTAAAGTCAGCATCAACCATAAACTAACTAATATTTCTGTATTTATTTCAGATTTAGTCAGTCATACACTTAGTTCTTATCAGTGTTTAAAAGAGGGCGAGTTAAAACTATGTTTAGTCAAAGTTTAACATGAAACGTCAAAGTTTATTACAATTGGCCCTTCGAGGGCCACCATAATGCTCATGTGGCCCTCGGTGAAAATGAGTTTGACAGCCCTGGTGTAGGGTCTCTTTTTTATTTTTTCTATTGCTTTTTAATGTTTGTTTGTAACTTCTGTAATGTGAAGCACTATGTGCACTTCTTGGATATTGAACAGGGTTATAAAGTAAAGGTGGATTGACTGACTGACTGACTGACTGACTGACTGACTGACTGACTGACTGACTGACTGATTGATTGATTACCATAGGTTCATTTTTGGCCATCTCAATCATTTAAACAATATAAAAGCTAGAAAGCATAGTTTCCTCAAGTGATTAGGGTGGCTGGTTTATATGTTGAGACAACCATCTTGAATTTGGAAATGGCAACCCTTTCTTTGATAGGGACCTTTTCTTACATCTATGTAGAAGTAGCCACACACCAAAATGAAAGTCAGTACCTCAGGCATTTTTCAAGTTATCCAGCTCACAAAACAGATGGTACATCCAAGGCACCAACTTTGCTCCGCAGCAGGGATCACTCTAACCTAAGTAAGGTTTAATTTTCTGGATTTACAGCTACAATGTACAGTTCATGTGAGAACTGCTGTTCATTCTTTTTATTTAAATATGAATGTTGTTCACAAACAAGAACTTAAAACTGGTACTTGTAGCAAAATAATTTTCTTACATGTGACCCCAGGTATTTATCTTGTTTTGTCTTTGCAAAAGTCTAATTTGAAGCATGAAGTGAAGAATAACATGTGGTCTTATTATGCAATTTGGTGAAATTATTTATACTTATAACAAATGATGGTTTATAGACTGATAAGTTTAAACAAGCACCTGCAGGCATGAAAAATAAAAAAGAAAGCATTAAGGAAAAACTTTATCATTCATTGCTGGTGTTAAACGATAAAATAGTTTGGCAGTTGGGCATAAAGTCAGATCAAATCAGTCCTGGAGGCTTTTTGGAAAAGCAATTACTTAAAATGCGATAAAGAAATAAGTACATAAATAAAAACAAACATTTTGCTGATCTCATTCTGACATTCTGCCTTTTATTGGTTGCAGACTTTAAAAACTCACATTTTTTTTTCTCTACATGTTTAAATGCCTCTCACTTATTAGAAACCACTTAACTCGAGATCCTTTCTGAACTTCAAGGGGCCATTTCCAAAGTCAACAAAGAAGAGAGAGTGAGTCCTTCCATCCAACTGTGCAGCTGGCTACAGGCTGCTTTTTTGGAGGAATATTGAACAATGATTACTTTGGCTGTGATGGGAGGGAGGGGGTGGAGGGAGGAATGTGATGAAGGAGTTGGAGCCATACGAGAGGGGTTACATGGGGTTACTTGACTGTGTCTGTGCACGCATATAGAAAGATAGACACCAGATCACTATTGAGCTGAAAAATAAAGGCAAAAATCAATAAAACAAACCTCTCAAAGACTAGAAGAAGGAAAGCTGACTTTTATGGATTTGTAATGACATCTGTTTCATCATCAGATACGTACCTTGTCAAGTTCACTGGACAGCTTCTTGTTTTCTTCACTGAGCAGGACTCTGTCTCGCTCATATTTCTGCTTGTACTCTGTCTCAAAATCTTCCCGCTCATTTTGGCTGCAGAGAACACACATACATACACAGGTTTTATTTGACATTGTATAAGCTCAAAGCTCATAGTTCAGCCATTTTGATTGAAATGGACCCTAAAGTGGATCACTGTCATCCTAAAACAGCTCAAATCTTTACAATTTAACAGCCATTAATTCAAACACTGGTTTTTATGTCATTTTCTTATGTCAAAGTGGTAAAATTCTAAACTCACTTATAAGTGCCCATAAAATCATATGTAAATAAATGTGAATAAAAACTGTTTTCTTTTGAGACTAAGGCCCTGTTTACATGAGACCAGTCTCTGAAAATCCTAATGTTTACTGGGACGAATATACAAAAAAAAAAATACACCTGTTTATATGGAACCACTGCAGTAATGTACCAGGCATTGTTGCCAAATGAGACATATTTAAGTGTTTTACTGTTCCTTTAAAATTATTATATTTTGAGTCAAAACAGAAAATATGCTGCACATGACTTAGTCGGTCATATATGCTGAGTGAGGGTGTTGTAAGATAAGGTGTGTGTTGTGTTTAGTGAAAATATGCACGGAAAAAGACCGGCAAAAAAAATTATTTTTTATCTGGCAACCCTGAGGCCGGTCTCTTTCATGCTCTGATCATCCAGCAGCTTCATGATCACACTTTATTTTTGTGTTTTTTCCTACAAGATACAAAAGGGTGAGTAACAGAAAAAACCCTCTGCTGTCTGTAATTTAATGTAACTGTTGCTAGTTTAGAAGAAACTTTTCTGTAGTCGTCTGTGTGTCGGCTGTTTGAGCATGCGCGCCTTCACTGAGAACCAGCTCCGTGTAAACGGGGCCTAACTGTTTTAAGATTGCAGTAAATCCACTTTGGTCCTGACACTGTTCAGACTAGCCGTTTGCTCGTCAGTCTGATCAGAATTACACTTTATTACTTTTAGTCAGTAGTTCTCAAACTTTTTATGTTGGGGGGCCCTCCAATCCTTCTGGGCCCCAGAATAAATTAGTAGCAATGTACCACGTATTAAAGCATTTGCATGTAAGGTAGTATTATAACCATTGTTTTCTGTTTTCTCTGAATTTTTTGTTGTTCAATTAAAAATAAAAAATAGAAAGACCAAATGAGCATCACTGCGACCGACACGGCAGGCCTCTGCACCCACCAGTGGGGCCCGCCTCACAGCTTGAGAAGTACTGTTCTAAGCAGAGGTCATTGAAAGAGCCATCTACAACAGGTAAYATATTAATTATTTATAACTTTTACACAGCACCCTATTTCAAAATGGCCACACAATTTCTCCAGTCCCCTTTATTAAGCCCAAACATATTAATGCAGGTAGAACCTGATACAACTACATGTTTAAAAATGAATTAGACAGCAGTGAGAATAATATATCACTAACACCAGACAGGAAGGTTAGATTACAGGGTACAAAAACACAGTTCTAAAGCTTCCTGCACAAAAAAAATAAGACTTTATTGAAATGTGATTCAGGCTCTGGTTCTCAAAGTGGTGTCAGTTGTTCAAAAAAGCAAAAAGATCCTCTGTTGAAAAATATTGTTTTTTTCTCCTTCATGTTTATTTTCAATTAATTTAGGGTGGATTGGACATATATATATA